CATTATTTCTCGAATTCCAGATTTGTGTGATGTTAATAGCGATGTAGGATCGCGCCATAGCTGCCTCAATATCTCTGCATGTATTGATCATTGATTCGCTCAATCCAAATATACATCACGTTTTGCAATTTGGATCTTCTGTATTAAAGAAAATAGCACACACGTGACAGAACTATAAGAATACAGTCGATAAACGTTGTTATCATGCATCGATGCTTGTAGAGATTGGTTTCAGGACTCTTCGATCTTTTATGTCGAAAAAGATGATAATAGATTTCAATCGATACATGCTGCTCAGTAAGTTTTTTAAGGATGTTTCAGTTAATATCTTGCCAGTCGAATATAGTAGTACTGATGGTACAATTCAGGAATTAACAGGTAATTATGATGAATTAAAATGGAATAAATATGACGCTTTATAGATAATAAACTAATAAATGTTTCTCGTTAATCAAGTATCACAAAAAGTAAAACAAAAAGAAATGAGTTTTTCAAGATAATAATCACAAAAGTTAAAAATTTATCAGATTTTGAACACGAAATACTTGTTTTATTACTTCTATTGTATTTTGGCAAGACTAGCATAAGCATTTAATTCAATATATGTAATATAAACATTTATCTTTACAGAATATTGGAAGAAATTAGTCGAAGAAAATCGCGACTGGATTACAAGAGATGAGAATGACTAAATTGAATAATATTTTGGAACAGTAGATTTAGAATTGATAGAAAATATTTGTTTTTAGCACATGCTTAGACAGGTTTTATTGATTGCTTTACAAGTATGCATATTTATTTATGGAACATTTATGTAATAAAAAATCATGAATTTAATAATGTATGAGCCAAATATTTATGTTAATAATAGCAAATTTATATTAATTGTCGATAATGTCAGCGTTCTTTAATTACCTCCGAGCTCTTGGGGTCCTTTTTATACCGCCGAAAATTTGCCTAAGGTTGACAGTCTTTAATAGTATCTCGTCGGTGTCTCTACACTGTAGATGTCGCAATTTCTAAAAAAGTAAAAGTCGATTCGATAATCTAAATAATGAACTTCAAACAGTATTATCTTGTCCTTCGCGCTCTGCACTGTGTATTGAAAATTTACAGGTTGCATTATATATACTATAGATTTTCAGTACTGACAATGAGAAAACAAAATAAGCTACAATCAAATAATTAAAATAAATTATTTAAAAAAATAATTAAAATAAATATGTTTTTATTCTATTTCAAAATAAAAGAAGAATCTTCGATATATTATATTATATTTTACAAATGTATATTTTATCAGACACGAATGAATTGTTTTATTGAAAAATATTTATATTTTAATATTTTACGAGAAGTTTTTTTTTTATTTGAAAGAAATACTTCTCTTTCTTTTTATTCAAATGATTTCCTTATCTTGCGTTTTTTGAGAGTACGTAAATTTAATACAGAGAAATGTAAAATCAGGATACGAAATTATTATAAGCAGCGATCCGACTTGCCGGAATGGTTCATGGATACAGATCTATTTCGACTGGAGTTGCAGGAGATACTACTCGATTTGGAGTAACAATTATTTTTATAGAATATATAAGAATTTATTGGAGTGCTGAAATTCGTAAGATTATATAGTGAATTTGTTTACCTGTCCATATGCACAAACTAGACTAATATTAAAGCGATCTTATATTATATGATCTGAATATAAATTTTATTTTCTATCTTTTTATTATTATCCAGAAAACAAACTTAGATTATATGATATCATAATTAAAAATAGTTCACTGAAATTTTATAATTTCCGCATTCTAATTAGAATCGATTTCGTCTGTAAAAATATAAACATTGTGAAAAATATAAATATTCTTACTTTATTAATTAAATTTATTTATTTTAATTTATATAAATTGTTTTTAAACTTAGAATTTTACCAATTTAATTATAACGAGAATTGATAGATTATAAGTTATTTTTTATTTTTTATGCATTTACTTTTATTTGTTTTATGTGTAAGAAATACTTCACCAAATTGCAACTTTAACCTTAATAATACGTTGCTTTGTAGATAAATTTGTGTTAACTTTTGTTTCCATTTTTGTTAATATATGTATATTGGCAAGAATATTTTGTAAAGAATTTTTAAAAATTTATAATAATAAGATGCGTATCACTGTAAAATATGTACGAGTATATTTAACTTTTAAAAAAAAAATCTGAAATTCTTTGTTTATATTTAGTTTATATAATATTTAGTTTACCCTTACAGAAGCCGGACAAAGGAAGATTAATTCTTATTGCGCGCTGCACGGCATGATCCAAGAATACACAAAGTGTTAGATTTATTTAAGGTAAAAATAAAAACAATGTAACAGTTTGAACGAATACATATTTCCAATTCGCAATTTTTCGATGTACGATTTTTTAGGTCAGTGCGCTAGCGATAGATACAGCGTTCAAATATTATCCCGCAGGATTCGTGTATGGTTATACAGTATTTGTAGATGCATCTAATCCAACTCTACACCATATTGCTCAACTTCGATCTTATATATTAATGAATTTTGTCCACATGTGATAGAACTGCTATCCAGGGAGGCTTCAGTCGTTTAATATACTTAATACATCGGTAATCTTCGATTGTTGTGCACATTTTGAAATGTTTCATTACAGAAAATATGTAAGATAGATTTTACATTTACTCACACAAAACGATGAATTGTTTCAAGGATATTCCAATTAACATCTTGCCCGTCGAGTATCACTGATGATATAATCCAGGAATTAGCAGGTAATTACGAATAAATTAAAATGTAATTAATGCAATAAACGCATTTATTGAACGATAAAAGTGTTTATTAAACAATTGCCGAAGTAGAAATAAACTTTTTACAAGTTAAAGTATTTCTCCGGCTACAATCGCGCTAAAAAATTAATACAATCTACGAATATGCCTCTCCGCGCGTGCTTTCTGAAGAAAGAAACTTTTGAGGCAATCGTACAAACATACACGCATAAATATCGTATCTGTGTACACAAACATTAGTTCACGCTGAAGACAGTTAAAATGTAATAACAGCATGTCCTTGTCTCGCCGCTCAACGTGCGAGGAGAATTCCATCAAATTACAGATTTAAACTACTCTAATTCAGAAACGGCACCGCTAGCACCTCATTTGTTTTTATAAAATTCCTATAATATTTCTACATTACATATTTATTTATTTTTTTAATCTGTAGAAGATTTTTGCTGCACAAAGTATTAAAACGCTGTTTTTGATAAGACTTGATAAAAGAGTTTATGTATTAAAAGCTGAAACTTTGAAGGTGAATATCTCCATTTCGGTACCGTTAGGATTTTTAAAATTTTAATCATATATAAACAAAATTATTTTAAACATAATATCCAAATTTCAAAAAAAATCTGTAAAAACTTAATTTGTCGGAAAAATACCTTAAAATAGCGATTGTTTAGACAACAGTCATTAAAATGTTTATTAATTGTAAGAGCAGTTTATTAGATTTAACGTACAGTTATATATGCACCTATATTAATTATAGTCAATACATGTTTAGTATATAATTTATTCATATAATTTAATGTATAAGTAATACAAACATTTACTTTTGCAGAATATTTGGAAGAAATTATTTGAGAATCGCGAATGGCTTATAGATGATGATAATGATAAAATGATTATTTTGAAGCGGTAGATTTAGGAATAAGATAAAGGTATGTTCTTAGCATTCGATTAAATAATATATTGAATATAGATCGTTCCTTTTCTGTTTTGCGAAAAGTATCATTTTTTTTTTCTTTATAGGGGAATTATAATTTTCTATCGATGATTCTTAATATAAAAAATGATTCTGTGCAGAATTTCTAGTGAAGAATAAACTTTTTATTCCTAGTAGGTTATCATATTTTGAATTATGTAAAAATTTAATGTATTTACCTTGTACTCTTAGAATCTAAACTATTTAATTTCTTTTATTATATACTTATTTCTACATATATACGAGTACATTAATTAATCTGTTTTATAATAAACTGATATAATTAACTTTATATAAATATTTGTATTTGTATTTGTACGTATAATATTTAAATAATTAATATACTACGTAATATAAATATTTTAACAATTAATTTTTTATTTAATTATATATATTATGCTACGACTCTTTTTCGCCATTTATTTTGTTTATTTTGTTTATACATAAAGAGTCTTTACACCGCTGTTATTTA